GGCTGGAGGGGGTTACAGAGATAGGGAGGGGGTGTAGGGGCTGGAGGAGATTACAGAGATAGGGAGGGGTGTAGGGGCTGCAGGAGTTTACAGAGATAGGGAGTGGTGTAGGGACTGCAGGTGTCTACACAGATAAGGAGGGGTATAGGGTCTGGAGGGGGTTACAGAGATAGGGAGGGGGTGTAGGGGCTGGAGGAGGTTACAGAGATAGGGAGGAGTGCAGGGGCTGGAGGAGGTTACAGAGTTCGGGAGGGGTGTAGAGGCTGGAGAACGTTACAGAGAAGGAGGACATTCGACCCATCGAGTCTCTATTGGAAACTTTTCGCAAATTAATCATGGGCTTGCACAAGGCAGGTGGAGGCTATTCAGCCCATTATGGCTGCTCAGACTCTCTTTTTGAGAGGACAAAACATTGAATGTTTTCAAGAAGATGATAGTTATAGTTCTTGGGGCCAAAGGGATCAATGGCGATGGAAGGATCAAGGGGGAATGGGAGACTGAGTTGGATGATCAGCCATGACCATATTGAATGGAGGAACAGGCCTGAAGAGCCAAATGGCCTACTCCTGCTTCGGCCTCCTTACTTGACACAGGATTTGAGGGTTTTGGTGCCAAGCTTCCCTCTGAACTCCTCCGATTACAGCCACTCCCTTGGCAGCAGAAGAAGTCTTGCTGTGTCTGGACTCCATAATCCTTTAACACGTCTGGGTTTTGGCACATAGTCCTGGAAGCACAGCCTTTAATCGTGAAAGCAAGTGAACTGACTGTGAAAAAAGGAATATCAATGTAACATTAGTGATTTGTCAGTTATTTCTCAATATTTCAATTGGGAAGTAATGGATGGAGTGAACGCTGAGACTTACATGTGATGGAGGAATGGAAACACCACGTCTGTGCACCAGCACATTTCACTGTTCTTGTGGGATCTTCACATGCACCGAACAACGGACAGGTGTAACACTCGAGGCCGTTCGAGGTGGTGTTAGCCTCTTCTGAGCGAGACAAATGAGAAAGACCCCCGTCAGACATACGAAGAGTACAGAATCAATTTTCCACGACAGTGCCATCAACATTGCTGTCAAGCAGGACCTGCTCGATGATGCCCAGTTTGGCAAGGGCCACCCAGCCCCTGACCCCATTACAGCCTTGGTTCAAACATGGGCAAAAGAGCAGAATTCCAGAGGTGAGGTGAGGGCATGAAGGCTGTATTTGACAAGTGTGGCATCAAGGAACCCTAGCAAAACTGGAATCAGTGCGTAACAGGGGGCAAAGTCTCTGTTGCTTGGAGTCTGACAAGAAAGAAGGTGGTTTTGGTTGTTGGAGATCAGTCATCCTAGCTCCAGGACATCTCCGCAGCGGGTGCTCAGGGCAATGTCTGAGGTCCAACCATCTTCAGCTCCTTCATCAATGACCTTCTCTCCATCACAAGGTCAGAAGTGGGGATGCTCGCGGCACCATTCACAACTCCTCAGATACTGAAGCAGTCCTTGTTCAAAGGCAACAAGTTCTGCACAATATCCACGTTTAGGCTGACAACTGGCAAGGAACATTTGGCACACACAAATGCCAGGCAGTGACGATCTCCAATGAGAGAGAATCTAGCTGTTGCCCCTTGGTATTTAATGGTATCACCAGCGCTGAATCCACCGCTATCAATCCAGAAGGTTACCATTGATCAGAAACTCAACTGGACCCACCACATAAACACAGCGGCTACAAGAGTAGGTCAGATGCTGGGAATCCTGCAGCGAGTAACTCCCCTCCTGACTCCCCCCAAAGCCTGTCCCACTGTCGACAAGGCACAAGTCAGGAGTGGGATGGAATACTCCCCACTTGCCCCTGGATGGGGGCAGCCCCAACAACACTCAAGAAGCTCGACACCATCCAGGACAAAGCAGCCCCCGCTCGATTGGCACCACATCCACAAACATCCCACTCCCTCCCCCACCGATGCTCAGTCGCAGCAGTGTGTACCATCTACAAGATGCGCTGCAGAGATTCACCAAAGATCCTCAGGCAGCACCTTCCAAACCCACGAACACTTCCATCTAGAAGGACAAGGGGCAGCAGACACATGGGAAGTTCCCCTCCACTCCCCATCCTGACTTGGAAATATATCCCCGTTCCTTCACTGTCGCTGGGTCAAAACACAACTCAAGAACTGCAGCGGTTCAAGAAGGCAGCTCACCTACTCAAGGGGCAACTAGGGACGGACGATAAATGCTGGGCGGAGTCAGTGATGCCCATTTGCAATGAATGAACGGAAAAACAAATCTAGAACCACAGCCAGGCTGAATGGCCTACTCCTGCACCCCATTAACAACACTCCCTCAGAGAAATCTGACTTGGACACAGTTGTTTCTTTGCGCATGTGAAATCCCACAGTCTCGTGGGTCCGTTTGTGCCCTACCTGTGATGGTTTGGTTGTTGCAGAGATTGGTCTGACAGCAGATCTCAGTCATGGAGGCCGACATTGTGCCACCGTTAAAGGACAGATTTCCAATGCAGGTCCCACAGTCACGAACGATAAATGTCTGGATGATACTACCTACAAACAGAGAGGCAGGACTTTGGTTCTCTCTCTGTAACCTCCTCCAGCACCAACACCCCTCCCTATCTCTGTAA